TTCCTTTCAGGAACATTTTTGCCAAACATTTCAGTTACTAATTGGGCAGTATCAAAAGAGTTCTCAGGATCAAAAAAACGTTGCCACATTTCTGGAAACAAAATTCCTTAGATTTCACCTTCACAAATTTCATTCCAGGGTGGAGAAATGTCAAGATGGTTGGAAATGAGCTCTTGGTATTCTTTCCTCAATGCAAAAACTTCCTGATATCAGGAAGAGGTCCTTATCTCTTGGATTTTAGAACCACAAGACAAGAGGGAGGATTTATCTCAAAGATTTTAGGAATGAACATGTATTATCAATAAGAAAGCACCAAGGAATCACCTAAAATACATCAACCAACCCCAAAACTACAGCAAATGCTGCCTCTGGGTTTTTATGATTTTTTAGCTCCTAGGATTTGGTCCTTGGGAGGAAAAGTGGCTCATAAACATAAAGTTTACAGTACTATTGAAGGGTCAGTTATCATTTTCATTATTATTTCTGATCAATTCTTCCAAAGATGAAGGCTTTAATAAAATCATTCATTTTAGATCTGTAATGTTCAAAGATCTATAATGGTTTTATAGTCTATAAGACCTTTTAAACTGTTTAAGCTGCTTAAAATTTAAAGAAAGGCTATCAAACATCTGAAGTGACATCATAAAGGCCCACTATGACCTTTCACAAAAAAAGGAGGGGGGGCACCTTAGGTACTAGCCCCAAACAGTACACTGAACTAAAAGAGCATGGTACTAACCCCATATAACCACCCTCATGTTTTTGTGAGGATTTGAACAACGTCTACTTTCAGCATCCCATTCCTAGGGTGCAGGACAACCATACCTTTGATTTAGGGCAGAAATTTCATTTTTGAAAGCAAACCTTTTCATTTCGTATCAAAGCCACAGTTGGGAAAAAGAAAAGAAAAATGAGTTTTAAAAGCCAAATGAACTTTGTTGTCACAAAGAAGGCAGGGGGAAAAAAGCAGCATACGCATCTGTCATTTGACCATGCAACTCAGTTTACTCTAAATAGCAAAGTAGATATGCCACTGACATCAGGTCTGGGCAACATTTTCAGAATACTTTAGAAATGGTCATCACCAAGGGAGCGCTTCCCTAAATCTTTAGGAAGCAACTCAGCAGCCCATTGTTTAACCACGCCTCCAAACACCTGCAGATATTAAAAATAAAGGAAGACAAAGATACCGACAGCTTCTGTTTTCATTGACTCAAATGTTTAGCCTTCTTGCATTGATGAACATTGAAAAGGTGCACATTTACATATCTGATAGACAGTAAAATGCAATGAGGGGATTTAATCAAAGCAATGAAAGTCTAATTAATGCAATCAGCATTAGGTCGTGCAAATATTGTCATTGAATGCCATCATGTGAAGCCAGTGATGAAATTGAATTGGGCCACTTCAAGTTTTGTCCCTTTTTCTGTAGGATAAGAGCAATGGGGAGAGATTGAAATTGAATGCCAAAACTCAGGCTGCCTATTTTTTTCAGTGTTTCTTTGAGGACTCTTATGAAATCTTGAGAGAGGCAACTATAGTGTAGGAGACACAGGGCTGGAATGGGAGCCAGGAAAATATGGGTTTAGATTCCAAGTCTGACGAATATCAGCTGTGAGGTATGGGCAAGTCACTTAACTTTTAGTGCACAGAGACCTTAAGTTGTACTGATCTGCAGAGGTAGAGGGAATTTCTCATGAGAGAGATCCCTATGCTAATAAAATCACAAGTGCAGTCCCTTTCCCTATGAAACTTTTAATGTCTTAATGAAATAAATCTTATTTAGTTTAGAATTCTTAATAACTCATTCCCTCTTATGAGACCTTCCCCTTCTTTTATTTCTTATTCCTTGATTTTTGTATCTTAAGGTAATATTAACAATCTTGTTTGTGAGAAGCAAACTATTCCTGTGGTAAAGCTGAATTCATTCTTTTTCATTTCTAGAATCCCCTCAAGAATAATAATTCATTAAATGATACATACCCTAGCAGCTTAAAAGATACGATTCACATTCCCAAAGATGAACTTTGTTCCTTGCAATCCAGTGCCAACAGACTCATAATTTATTTTACGTTTTCCTGTAAGCCTTTCCAATGTTTTTCTAAGATGTGAATTGGTTTGGTTTTTAAACTAACAAGCAAAGGCATCTAGATGGCACAGTGGAGAGAACATTGGCTCTAGAGTCAAGAGGACTTGAGTTCAAATCCAACCTCAGACAATTACTAGCTGTATGACCTGGGGTAAATCGTTTGACCTTGACTGCTTCCAATAAATAAAATATCAAGTAAGAATCCTCCTATTTTATAGAGTCATGCAAGTGTGAATTCCTTTAATGTCCCAGGGCCTAAAAGAAATCAGCCTGTGAGCAAGAAAAGGTATTTTATTGAAGATCTAAAATTCAACTTACAGCTTTGAATAGCAATTGTGTTTAGACGACTGATTTTGTGACCATATCTCTCATGACACTATTACTAAGCAGAGGAAGAATGGTCTCAAAGATCTTTTTAACCCATCTGTAAGAGTGGCTTAATATCATCGATGGTCTTCAATGGATTTGGTTTAAAAGAACTTGAAATTGAATCCTAGTCCTGTCACCTGCTACTTTTGTGACATTGAAAAAGCATTTAAACTCCCTAAGCCTCAGCTTTCTCACTTATAACATGAAGAAGTAGGAGTAGCTCAACCTATAAAAAATATGCATTACGTGCTTACTATGTTCCAGGCACCGTGCTAAGCCGGGGGCAGGGTGGGTGGGGGGAGCAAAAGCTCCCTGAAGGAGCTTATATTTTATTGGGAGAGACAACATTCACATATGCAGTTATATGTAAGATACAAACAAAGTGGTGGCAAAGTAACCTTAGTGAGGAAGGCACCAAGAGCTGGGAATATTGGGAAAAGTCTCTTGAGGAAGTTGATGACTGAGCTAAATCTTGAAGGAGGGAAGATAGGGATTTTAAGAGTCAGCGATGAGAAGGGAGTACACGCCAAATAAGAGGGTCAACACAAAAGCACAGAGATGGAAGAGGGAGCATCATATTTAAGAAACAGCAAGTAGGTCAACACGGCTGTATTGTAGTGTATGGAAGAGGGTAATATGTAAGAAGTCTGAAAGGTGTAATGGAACAGGTTGTGAAGAGCTTTAAATCCACCAAAGAGGAGTTCATATTTGGTTGTAGAGGTAATAGGGAGTTGTGTGTGTGTGTGTGTGTGTGTGTGTGTGTGTGTGTGTGTGTGTGTTTGTATGTATGTGGGAATAATGGGAGGTAACATTTAAGGTGACCTTGAATATCCCTGGAATCTCTAAATCTACAACCCTATGATTTTGTATTTGTTTTATACTTGAAAAGTCTTGTGTTGGGGCAGCTAGATGGCACAGTGGATAGAGCACTAGCTCTGGATTTGAGAAGACCAGAGTTCAAATCTGACCTCAGACACTTGACACTCACTAGCTGTGTGACCCTGGGCAAGTCACTTAACCCCATTGCCTAGGCAAAAAAAAAAAGACTTGTGTATATGGAAAGTTACAGTGGCCTACATCCTCACCTCTATCAGCAGATGAAATCCCAATCAACATCAGCCAGAGAGGCAGATATTAAAACAAGATACACTATATTCATAACATTTTAAAACTTTAGTGTTATCTCTTAATACAGAAATTTAAAACTTCGTCTGCATTGTTGTCATATAATCAATTAACAAGTATTCATTAAGAGTCAACTATGTGCCAGGCCCAGTTCTAGAGACTGGCTAAAGTAACTTCCCAAAAATTTTCACCTGTTGTTATTTATCTTCAATTCAATTGCATCTATATGTCATAGTAAATATCCCTTAATAACATCTTCCTCCAGTTCCTCATAATAGTGTGCAGATGACCTTATGTCCTTGTAAAATATGACTGAAGATTATATTCAAAGTAGCCAAGTGGTACAGTGGATAGAGCACTGAGCCTGGAGTCAGGAAGACTTGAGTTAAAAAGCTGGCCTCAGATATTTATGAACACTGTGACCCTGGGCAAGTTACTTAACTTCTGCCTGCCTCAGTTTCTTTAACTGTAAAATGGGGACAAAAATAGCACCTATCTCAGGGTTGTTGTGAGTCTCAAATAAGATATTTGTAAAGTGCTTAGCACAGGACCTGTCACATAGTAGGCATTTAATGAATGCTTCGGATATGGGTCCAATAATGGAGAGTAATCTGTGGCCTGAGAACCAGCCTAGCAAAGTTCAGAGAATCTCATCATTAAAAGGCATAGAAGGAGTAAGACTATCCTTTCTGACAATTTAACAGATTATTGAAATTCTGAAGCATGGAAGCATAGGTGGTAGAAATTAGAGGGAATGTCACTGGAGAGTAAATAAATTTGTTCAATGGCATCTTCAGGTGACACACTTTGCTCTGTAATGGAATAGTAGAGAAAAGTCTTCTTTTGGGAAGCTAATTAAATACCAAAGGCAGCCTGTGCTTCTTGCTAGGATTAAATTATAGTGATGACTGTGTGTGTCGTAAACTTCCATATCACAAACTTCCTATAGCTCGGACTCCAGGTTTATTCAGCTAAATAAATATGATTGTTCATTGCTAGCCAATCTTTCCTAAATCTAGTCCAACTACTGTTCTTAAAAGTCCTTTAACTGATGGAACTATATATTTTTGTAAGCTGTAGACACAGAACTTGCCATCTTTTAATAAACTATGTATGAGGATAAACAGGTCCTCTTAAAGATGAGCTAAACGAGGAGCTTGGCATTCAGTAAAATCTCTCCCAAAAATGCAATAGCTCTTCTATCCCACAATGCACTCCTTCACAAGATGGCTTCAATGGTCAGTCCCACTCACCATTGTAGTTTCTGCTATTGAACCAAAGCTGTTGATAAATATGTTGCAGGTAACATTTACAGGAGGCCCTGCAAGTTGAACAATAGATAGAAAAATTGACAGGTTGTGTTCATGACATACATCAAGTATTGTCTTTTTCTTGCCCATGGTATTGTAGCACTTACCATTGTGGTCTCTGTGACTGATCCAAAACTGTTGATAAAAATATTGCAAGTAACGTTTACTGGAGGACCTGTGGAATGCAATAAGAATTTTGCAATAGACATTGAGCCAACAGGAAAGCCCCACCAACATCTGTGCCAACTGGTGGAGAGAAGTGGACATAACAAAGAGGACACTGAGATTTCAAGTGCAGAGGCCACCTAGAGCAATATAACTAAAATGTCCATCAATCCTTTAGATAATAAATTTCAAGTGTTTACTCATCAGTAACAATTTTGTTTCAAGCTATATTCTGAAATATTCTGAACTAAAGATACTTTGTGTATCATTGCTAGGAAAGTTTGGCAGAAATTGGGTTACATAGCTCCCTTTTAATGGATGATCATGTTCCTTGGTCATAAACATCATGAATATTACCATCAATTTTACATACATTAACACCCCCAATGCAGATGCAGCAGCAACATAGCACTAAGCTGTCAACCAGAGCTCTTTTGGTGACAACTAAGAAAGCATGTCTGCTTGTGGATGCCACAAAGAAATGCCATATGAGGCAGTTCGAACTAAAGGAGCTCATTTTGCAGATAACTGCCTACATAAAAAGGAATGAAAACAAGCTTTAGGAAAAGATGGGAGTAAAATAGGGTTTAAGAAAACTTTAGAAGCTTTTAAAACCAAAGTACCTTAAGAAATGAACAGTGTGCGTGGCACACTTGTCTTGCTGACTAATGATGGGAGGCACAAAATTGGGGAGCTTTATAGCTCTTGTGATGCTGGCCTTTGGTGAATCAGAAACTATGCCCTGCCTGGTCTTCTCTCCTTATCCTTAGGTATAAGCTTGGCAGTGGTTCTTCCTTTGTCTTTCTTCTTTTGGTTTACAATCTGCTTATTTCATGGTATAGCTCTCTGCCGGGGGGGGGGGGGATACTATCTGCTATCAACGATTTTTTCCTTATGACTTTTGGTGAAGACTAAATTATAGGGGCAGCTAGGAGGTGCAGGGGATAGAGCACAGGCCCTGGAGTCAAAAGGACCTGAGTTCAAATCTGGCCTCAGACACATAACGCTTACTGGCTGCGTGACTCTGGGCAAGTCACTTAACCCCAATTGCCTCACCAAAAAAAAAAAAGCAATGAAACACTCATTTTTTTTCATTCATTTGTTCACCCCAGCAGTAACTTCCATCTCCTTATTCACCAAGCACAACACTGAGTGCCACATCTGACCCAGATGTCCCTGCATTTGTAGGTCAGTGGTTCTAAATGGAACAGGACTTGGCACAAAGTGTCCCTAGAAGGTTAGCCAAACCACAAGTTACACATGGTTTTTCTGAACTCTACTGCTCCAAGTTAGTGACTCAAATTCAGAGCAGACAGCATTGGTCAAGGCAGCCTATTGGACTGACATACACCAGCAGCATAATGAGCCAGTTAGGGAACATGCAAGGAAAGTCTTGGTAAAAGGAAAATGGTTGCCATTCTTACTTTCTTAAAATAAGTGGCCCACCTACAGTGAGAAAACATATTGGGGAGTGGAATGTTTTGGAAGTCTCAAAATACTAGAAAATCAATTCATACCCATCATTTTCTTTCTTGCTTTTTTTCTTTCAAAATGCATTTGAGCAATAGTAAATATAACCTAAGTAGATTTACTTTTTTTTTGATCTTTCAAGATTCCATAGCTCTCTTTGCCACCTGCCTAAATTCCAGAAGACTTCCTAACTTGGTGATTGGTCCCTACCTTGTCTGTATTTTTTCTACATGCGTCCATTACTAATCTGCTTCACTTTCTTCAAAACTGTTAATTATAAAGCACCATAATGGGTATATTCTCTTTTACTTACACTTCTATTTCCTAACTAAATGTTTTATGAGGAGGTAAGGAGAAATATCAAGCCATGGAAAATTGGGTTCTGGTTGTTTTCCCTCCCCCCTCAATACTGAATTTCTTTTTGGTGATTGCCTGAGTAAAGCAAATTTTAAAAATAATAATAATAATAACAAATTCATGTAATGTTACAGAATTGAAACAAATAAAAATAAAATAGAAAATAAGAATAGAAAAGGAGAAATAATATTTTTTGGAATAGTGTTTCTGATGTTGTCAATCAAATTCTAACTCCTATTTGATCTATTATACATGGTGTCCCAAAAATCTTAGTGAAAATTTTAGTTTTAATAGTTGAAAATGAAACTAAGAATTTTGGGGAAACCTGTGTAAGTCAGGCAGAAGGATCTTGTCTATTATCTTGTCATATCTTCTATGATAAATAGAAAGATGTATTTGAGTTCTTTCCGCTAGATAACCAGGCCCCACAAAACAAATACAATGGATGGTGAGGATGATAACTTGGGGTGATGAGAAAAGTTAACGAATGTCAGAAATTTTAAAAAAACACATATCAGCAAAAGTACTTTTTTATCATAAAAAGATGGAAAGGGAGGTCTATCATCTAGGTCTTCAAAAATTATCTAACAAATGCTCTTGCGCTAGACTTCTAGGCCACACAACCAACAGTATGGCAGACGAGATCCTTTCTCTGATCCCTATGACATTTCAAACCTCTCCAAAATAGAAATTATATGCTAAAGATAAAGCACCTTCAGCTGTCTCCATGTTCTAGGGCACCCAGAATCCAAAAGAAAGTTAAAAAAAAATCAACTAAGTCTATTCTGAGCTCACTCAAGGCCCTTTTCCCCATCACTAAGCCAGCTCTTGAATCTACCTCTACGTCTCTTATTTCTCCCTTTCTCTCTACTCATAGAACTATGACTCTAACTCAGAACCTCATCAACTTTTAAACTATAACAATAGCCTTCATATGTATACATATGTAATATATACACGCATATACACACATATATATATATATATATATATATATATATATATATATATATATATATATAATATTAGCCATATATGGCCAATGTAGGCATGTGTTTTGCTTGAGTATACATATTTGTAATGGGTTTTGTTTTCTTGCTTTAGCAGTGGACATGGGGTGGACAGAATTTGAAACTGAAAATAAAATAAAATTGAATTTTAAAAAGCATACTTTTCATATTATCATCTATATGATGAAAACACTAATGCCACTCTATTTTCTACTACATCAAATCTAAATTTCTCAGCCTGCCTTCCAAGATTCTCCATGATCAGGTCCCAAACCAACTATGCATCTTTAGTTCTTATTACTCTCTAACATGAAAAATTTGTTCTAGTCTATATGATTCCTCTCACTGACTTCTCCACACACCAAATTAATTTCGCATCTTGTCTTTATTTGCAGTGTTCCTTAGCCTTGTATACTCTTCCTCCCTTTTCTGAACTGATCTAAATTCCAAACATCCTTCAAAGTCCATCTGAGACTTCTCTTCCTCCTTTCAAAATGCCCTAGATCACATTGTTTTCTACCTTTCCAGACTTTCTATTGTAGTTAATTTAACATGCAAATTAATACATTTATTAATTCATTCAACTTTTATTGAATTCTTACTATAAGCTAGGTAACATGTATGTGATACAAAAGAGAGTAGCCTCTGCCCTCAAAGAGCTTCCAACCCACCAGGGAAGATAAACACAAAAATAGCTACAAAACTAATACAAGGAGGATCAAATGTGGCTGTATTTGTAGAAATTAGTGCAGTTTGCCAGCTCTGCACCACCCATCAGTACTGCAAAATGAAGCTGTAGGGTAATTTGCATTGTTCTGATTCTATGTACTAGGAGTATGATGGGAGTGGAAAGGAGTTTATTCCTTCTAACCTAAATATAAAGTGGGATTTCAATAATTGCCACCATTTGTGCCTCGCTAAACCAAACCCTGTATTATCTCCACCATATGAGTACTGCTCACATGCCATTAAATAGTACTAAAGGAAGTCACACTACCATGCTTACTGTGCCCACCACGAATCATGTTATGTCATCTCAACTAGGTCCATACTGAAACAAGGCAACTATTTTATTATTCCCTACTTTGAATCTTCGCTGTTGTTCTAAGTCTTCCCTTCTATTTTTAAGCCTTTCTAACCTGGGTCATTTTGCATGCTTTCGTGTATTTAGAGGGAAAGGTGATTCTTAACTGGCAGAGAAAACTCTAGGTGTGATGTGATGCTAAGTATCTGCGTAAGGGAGAGAGTTGGTTCCAAAGATTAGTGTTGCAAAGACTTTTCTGGAAAGATATGTGAAAAGAGAAGCAGTAGACACGAAGAGGAATCTGGCTTCTCAACATATCCTCGATTTCCAGTTTACCTCCCTAAAGACTGGTAGAATGGACCTCCTTGAATAAGATTGAGTTTTCTCTCTTGATTTGACCTAAGATTACATCTTACTCTCAGATAATAAGCTCACTCACTCTTGTATATTCTAAAATAAAATAAAATAAATATGACTTTACATGTAAGTTAGATGATTTCTATTTGTTTAAATAAATGGGTTTATTAACTATTTGCTATCTGTGATGGTCTTTTCAATTTTTCCCTATCTACTGGCACTTTGCCAGAAACCCTTAAACAGGTCCCCAGAACTTTCACTGGACTCAGCAATCTCCTCAAGCTATCATCCCATGTCTCTCACTTTTTTCATTTTCTTTTCATATTTGTTTTGTCACAACTTCAAAGCCATCCTTTAATCTTCACTCACCCTCACTCCTTATATTCATTCAGTTGCCCAGTCTTGTAGAGTGTACCTCCACCGCTCTTAAATGTCTCCCTTTCCCTCTACTTGCACCAATACCACTCTAGTTCAAACCCACTTCAGCTCTTCTTATACTATTGCAGTAGCCTTCTAAGAGGCTCCAGTTTCTTTTCTCTCCAATCCTTGCCCTACATAGCTGCCAAAGTGAGTTTTATACTTGTATGGGTCTGGTCATGCCATTCTCCTGTGCAGAAAGTCCTAGTGACTCCCTCTTGCCTCTACAGTAAAGTATAAACTAATCTATTTGGTGTTTAAAAGCCTTCACAATCTTTATATTCCATCCTACCTTTCCAGGGTCATTACATATTCACGCATTCCAAGTCCCAGCTTATTTGTTCTATTTCCTTTTCCTCATGTTCAATATTACAT